CACCCCCTCCCCTTCATGCACCCCCTCCCCTTCATGCACCCCCTCCCATTCATGCGCTCCCTCCCCATTCATGTGCTCCCTCCCCATTCATGTGCTCCCTCCCTCATCGCCGCCCTCCCTCATCGCCGCCCTCCCTCATGTGCTCCCCTCCCTCATCGCGCCCCTCCCTCATCGCACCCCTCCCTCATCGCACCCCTCCCTCATTGCTGCCTTCTCCCCCTCTCCCCTCACCCCTCTCCCCTCTCCCCTCTCGTTCCGTGCCCCCTCTCTGTTCCCCTGCCGTAGTTGTTCCCAGGTTTTTGAGGGTGAGGATGAGGGTGAGGGTGGGGGTGGGGGTGGGTGGTGAGGCATGGAGCCCCTCAGGCCCCGGTCTGCCTCGTTCTGCACCATGTGACTGGTCACTGGCCAAGGTGGGAGTGCCCAGGATGGTGGACTGTGTGTGACCGCTGGCATGTCGTGGTGGGGGGTGAGCAATTCTGGGGACAGGGGCTAACAGGCATTTATAAAGGGTCGTGTAAACACCCCACCCCACATGTCGGGCTGCGATTGGCTGGTTACGGTCGTGTGATGAGTGTTTCCATTTGACCTTTCATCCTCCCTAGAAATGCTCTCACTGCCAGGAGCCTGGAGCGACCCTGGGCTGCTACTGCAAGGGATGCCCACTAAACTATCACTACATCTGTGCCACAGAAGCAGGTAAGTGCAGGAGAGGGGCTAGGGAGGGTGGGGGCTGGATCAAATGATGGTGGAGTCAGTCACCCAGGAGAGAGGGTCAGTATCACCCTTTACCCTGCAGGGTTACAGTGTCAAGCTCAAACAGCACTGTCCCCGAGGCCGGAGGCAGTATGGTTGGAACTGTGTGCAGCAAAGAGTGGTGCACATGCTCTGTCTGCCGCATGGTAAAGCTCATCTCAGTACAACCTGCACCATAGACCACAGAGCAGATCCCACAGACTGTTAGATCGTCACTGCACGATTCATAATACCCCCGCCTGTACAGGCTCTTAGACCTCAACTTTACCATTACCCTGTCAACACCTCACCCTGTGGTACCTGCTGCAACAGGCTTCTCCTTAAACACTGCGAGATTTGTAGCCAGAAGAACGGAAAGGTTTAAAATTGGTTAAAATGGGAGGGACTTGCTGGAAGTGAGCTAAGTCAGAAGACAATGGAAGTCGAAGGTGAGAGGAAAAGTGGGGTTCAGTGATAATATAATCAGCATGAAAGAGCAATATAAAAGGACCGGTAAAAACAAAGGAAGAGTAAAGAGCACCTGAACTATTTATACTGCAGTTCACACAATGTTTAATGTTAAAACAGGGAGCTGGAGGCTGTCACAAAATTGTTGTGAGGCAGGATGAGGCCATTCAGCCCATCATGTCTGTACTAACTCACTGAGCATTTTAACCCCACGCAATGTTTCTATTTAAATAACCTTTTGAATGCCTCAATCGAACCATTTCCAGATCCTGACTATTTGCTGGATGAAAGAGCTTTCCTCAACTTAGATTTGCTGATTGAAAAATCTTTGTTTTAAATCTGTGCTGTCACTTGATCCCCTTACAAGCAGGAGCTTTCTCCTTACCTACCAACTCTGCCCGGGCACCTCCACAATTTTGAAAACTATCAAATCTCCTTCTGGCCCTTTTCTCCCCCTTTAACCAGGAAACTTATTCCTGGAACCTACTGTCATAAAACACTTCTGCACTCTCTCCAATGCATTCACATCTTTCCTATAGTGTGTGTTTAGAATTGCAAGAAGAATCAGATATTTGGTGTTTCAATGGCTTCATAAAGAAGAGAAATACAATCACAAGCAGCAGGTTTCTGTGGGAAAGAGAAACAGAGTTAACACCCCTCTCTGAAGATTCATACCAGACCCTTAATGTTAACTCTGTTTCTGTCTCCACAGATGCTGCCAGACCTGCTGAGTTTCTCCAACACTTTGCTGTGTGTAAGGGCTGTTTCATTGTCCAGTTTATAAGTAAACTGAAAAGACAGGCAGCGTGCATCTTGTGATGAATTTGAGCCACAAAGAGAAGTGAGTTGAGGGGAATATCTAGGGAATAGTGATCCAAGTTAAAAATAAAGATTCAAAATAAAGGACAGAAGTAAGGAGAGGATCAAAGTAGTAAATTGGCAAGTTAATACAATGGAATCTTTATTAAAAATGAAATAGGAATGCATCTAGAAACTGAAACTATAACAGAAACATGAGCAGAGATTTCAAGAAAGAAAGCTGTATTTCACAAACTTGATGAATGCTTTGAAAAAGTAACACAAGGGGTAGACGAGAGTTATGTGATAAATTGAATATATTTGGTTTTCCAAAAGGACTTCATTCATTCAAGTACAACAAAGTAACCTTTCAGCAGAGAACACCAAATGCAGTCAGTGACAAGTAACAGAGGAGACAGAGAGCTGATGAAGTAGAAATCAGGAGAGAGTTTAAAGGTTTGGTGAATGGGAGCCATTTGTATTCTACAAGAAGTGTTGCTGAGAGCAAGAATTACAGCCAACTCCCTGATGTTCATCCTAACACACTGCCCACTGTCCGGTGTTAATGACTACGGCCCCCCCCACCCAGTGGTCAGTGTCGCTCCCTGACAGTCTTTCCCTGGTGTAACTCCCTGTCAGCCCGTAGCTCAGTCTAGCTGATTACTGACACCAATTGCGGTTCACTGCCAATCCTACCCATTGCCCAGTGTAACTCCCTGACGTCCAGCTTCCCCGTCCCCAACCCATTGCCCAGTGTAACTCCCTGACGTCCAGCTTCCCCATCCCCAACCCATTGTCCAGTGTA